AGATTTTACTCAGCAGCATCTCCTTCTTTTGCCCCTTCTGCAATTTGGGAATTGTGAGATAGTTGTTGATTGCAACATTCCATTGGTTCCCCTGTGGGTCAAATTTTATGGGAATCACTGCCCGGGATGGTATGAGCGTGCTTGCTTCCTTTCTTGCCCTTTCCCAGAAACCCGCGTGTGCTTTGAGGTGGAGGTCCTCCACTGCCACCGTGCGCAGGGACATTTCCCTGTTCAGGTCTGAAAGTCTTTCACATTGTGCATAAAGTGCCTCCTCTTGGATGCCCAACAGCGTTATGCGGTCGCTTCCCTGACTGGATTCTGTTTGCCCCTGTTGTTCCTTTTGTCCATTCAGGGAGAGTGTAGGCCTGTAGTTGGGCAGTTTGGATCTGTTGGTCTGCGATTTCTCCCTGGTTGCATTGTCGTTCCCCTCATCTATCTCCATCTCCTGATTCTCCTTTGTTGAGCTGTATTTTTCTGCCAGGAGTGCAGCCAATTCTGCCTCCCTTTCCAAGGGAGCGAAAGGATTTTTGTGAGAGGGATGGCCTGCGTCGGGTTGTTTGCTGCTGCTGCTTGTCTGTTCCTTTGTTCCTCTCTGTGCAGGATCAGTTGCAGGTCATATTTGTCCTGCCTTTCCTTCTCGAATTTCCGTATAAAGCTCAGTATCTCGTTTTCCTGTTGCTCAGCCCACGGGTAATACTCTGCCTCATCCCCGTCCTGTTCCTCTGCTGCTTCATCTCTGTCACAAGCCCCCTCTAGGTGCTTTCTCTTCCCCCCCACTGCTTTCTCTTCCCCCCCACTGCTGGCGTTTGGCGTCTCGCTGATTTGATCTCTTCTGGCTGCTAGTTTTCTGGAGGCTATGGAGGCTGCTTTGGACAGGTATATTAAGGCTGGAAAATCTGACCCATCTCTCTCCGAGTCTATGTATGCATATGCATGCATGCGCTATTGCTTATTTCTATTCAGGTCTTTGTAATATGGAGTTGGTGTTGATCTTGAAGAAACCTGGACGCTTTTGTAATCCCGGGTCGAAGAGAGTCTTATGCATATTGGGCTATGATCTAGGCCACTGTGACAGGTTGATTTTCCTAAGCCTACATTGAGGATTGTCCGTCTGAGGGCGTCTCAAACTAGGAAGTAGCAGTCTATTGCCGAACTAGAGATGGGGTGTGTTCTTTTCTCTTTTTTCTGCACGTGAGTCTGTTTGCATCTGGGTATAATGTTCAAAGCGGTTCTATTAAGTTCCTTTCTAGTATCAATGTGTGCATTGCCTGGGCCTCCACATGAAGTGAGGTTTTCTCTGTCCCTCTGTGAGCATGAGAGTCTGTCCCTAACAGGGTCTAGAGTGGTATTCCAGTCTCCTGCT